GTCCTTGAAGGCCGAGATGAATATGCAACTGCCAGCAACCTCTTCCAGTGTTCGTTTCTTCGAGCATAAGGTGGGAACCCTCAACAATGCCATAAGAGGACTTCGAAAGGATGAATGGTGAAGTTTCCCCCATCAAGGTGACTTTAAAGGCCACTCGCTAGTCTTCAACAAAGATGAACTCCGGCAACGCACCTCCGGCAGAAACTTGGAGAAGAACTCTCTCACCTCCCGTCAAATCGTCCACCTCCACACCTCTGAAACCACCGCATAAATCTCCTATGGCTTCGAATAACTTCTGGCACCAAAGATGAAGAGGCAAGCCGTACATCACCGCCCTTCTTGTCCCTTCTCGGTCTCTCACCGTTGAACATCCCACCGCAAAATACCAAACATCAATAGATAAATTAGCATCTCCCCATCTCTTCTTTCCTGAATCCAAAACCCTTCGTGCCTCATCCTTCGATGGTAGCCTAAGCAGAAAAAGGCCATCTGGTAAAGGATGAAACCACCACCCCACACGATACCTTCCAAGACTCGTTCACCACGCCTCTCCATGGAGATTGAGGCGTGGAAGTGTCGCCACATCAAGATACAACCATAGCATATCACAATTCCATGCCAATGAAAAACAGAGAGCCAACGAAAGAGAGGAAGAAGAAAGTCAACAGGTGCCGGAGTAAAAGACTTCGGCGTCTGAGAGGGTAGAGAGAAAAGCCATTAGGATTTCCTCCAGACCCAAGCCACCCTACTTTATGGATTCAAAGTAACCCGTTCCCGTTCCTTGTGAATAAATTTATCGCTTCCACTTACGTCACAAACAATAGCAAACGAATATCCTAATTTTTCTGGGACTATGCAAGAACAAATGAATATCCTAGTTATCATGTAACTCTGCAACATTGTATTATTAAATTTCATTATTAGATAGCATATGAACAAGTTTGCTTAATAATCATTAAATTATGTTGAACTTATTTATATTTTAGTACTAAATAAAAATACTTTTTCATAAACAAAATATGTGATATTTAAAAAATAAATAAATAAACCAATACAAGTTGATCTTCATAAATTATTGAACTCAGTGGAATTTTATAATATTTAATATGGAAATTAACACGTGTTTATTAGTGTAGGGGTAATAAAAGTGCTTTATGCAACATTATTACCAAACAAATCTAAAAGTGCTTCAAGCATAAAATGTGTTTTATACTTGTCAAAAAAAAAGTATAAAAAGTGTTTTATACGATGTGTCACCAATCGCATAACTACGTTTTACTGACAACAATTTTATGATAGCTCTACTACTAAAAGCGCTTTCGACATCGTAACAGTAATCCCAACGGGCTCTAAATGAAGCACATCAATTAGATATACATTTACCTAATAGAAGCTTCTGTCCTAGTGTGTACACACTTTTCAATACTGAGATCAAATTACTACTGATAGTTTAACTAAAAGTGTAGTCAACAATTTTGCACTCATGGCATGGTAATATCTTTGCACAAGCATGAGAGAAAATATTGGCCAGTGAGATGATCGTAGAATTGTTGGAGTTGATTTTGGTAATTTACTCAAATATAAATGAATAAAGAGAGACCCCACAACACTCTCATTCTGCCAACACTCTTCTCAGACCTATCTCCTTCCTCTCTTTGTGGATCAATCCACAAAACCAATCATATGTCAGCAGCCCAAGTTTTTGAATTATCCACAGAACATAAAATCCGTGAAATAGTAAGTGTTGAAAGAGAGATAAAAATAGAATTTATGAAAACGTAATTGTTATTGAGTCAGTAATACAATAATACAATGGTGTTTATATAGGAGAAGTTAAGAGAGTAGGTGAGTGGAGAACAAGTAAACCCTATACTTGGTAATTCTATATATGGTAATGAGGGGTAGGTGACAACTCATACAATACTAACTGTACACGTGTGACAACTCATATAATACTGTACAACACTCCCCCTCAAACTGGAGAGTAAAGTTCAATAACTCCCAGCTTGCTAGATATGGAATAAATAGAGTTCTTAGGAAGCGCCTTAGTGAAGATGTCTACTAGCTATCTACCAGAAGGAACAAAAGGTGTAACAATCTCATTCGAGTCAACTTTAGATCAAATGAAATGGCAATCTACTTCAATGTGTTTAGTCCTCTCATGGTAGACTGGATTGCTAGCAATATGAATAGGCTGCCAGATTGTCACAATAGAGAGAAATTGAGTACCGGACTGAAATCCCAAGTTCCAGGCAGTGTGTGCCATGGCACAATACTCTGCTTTCTTCATTGGAACGAGCCACAACTGGTTGTTTCTTACTCCTCCAAGTTACTAGATTTCCTCCTATGAAGGTGCAGTAACCTATGGTGAAACGTCGATCAGAAGGAGAACCGGCCCAATCTGCATCTATGTATCCCTCAATCCGAAGATGTCCAGAAGATCGATAAAGCAGACCACGTCCCGGAGCACGCTTGAGATACTTCAAGAAGCGTACAACTGCCTCCATGTGAGGTACCTGAGGATTGGTCATGAACTGGCTTACAACACTAACTGCATAGGAGATGCCTGGACGAGTGATTATGAGGTAAATAAGTTTACCTACAACTCTCTGATACATCTCTGGATCATCGAGTGGGTCACCGTCATCCACCTTAAAGTGGGGAAGACTGCTCTGATTCCAGTGGGGGAGGTGCCTGATATTGGCAGGTTGGTTGCGGTTCTTGGCTGTGGGGTCAGCTCTTTTCCAATTTCTTATTTGGGTATGCCTCTGGGGCTTTCTTCTAGGTTCGTGGGTGCTTGGGATCCTGTGGTAGAGAGGGAGGAGAGGAGGCTTGCAGGCTGAAAGAAGCAGTACCTTTCGAAAGGTGGGAAGGTCACTCTGTTGAAGAGCACTGTGTTGAGTCTCCTTACTTATTTTTTATCCCTTTTTCCAAATTCCGTTCTCGGTAGCCGCTGCAATTGAAAGACTACAGAGGAACTTCTTTTGGGGAGGGTCAGGGGATGAATTTAAGTATCATCTTGTCCATTGGGAGCAGGTATGTAGGTCCATTCAGTCTGGAGGCATAGGGATTAAGAGGTTAGTGCCTTTTAACAGGCCCTTCTCGAGAAGTGGTTGTGGAGGTTTGGTTTGGAGCGTCATAGGTTATGGAGGAGAGTTCTTTTGGGACGTTTTGGGGAGGAGGCCGAGGGGTGATGCTCGGTTTCGGTGACGATTCCCGGAGAGGCGGGGGTCTGGAAAGCTATTCGGAATGGGTGGAATGAATTTTCCAAGCATACCAGATTCAGAGTTCAGAAAGGTAGAGAGATTCGCTTTTGGGAGGATTTGTGGTGTGGAGATTGTACTCTAGCTTGTTTATTTCCGAGACTGTTTCGGATTGCTGTTGATATGCCTTAGTTGCTGACTGCTATCGGCTTGATAGCGAGAGGATGACCTGAGATGTACATTTTCAGAGATCGGTTCAGGATTGGGAGCTGGATGATGTTTACGGTTTTCTGGAGCTTTTGTCCAGACAGGAGATTCATGGTGGAGGTAAGGATTCTCTGGTTTGGGTTCCCTCCTCTCGGGGTACTTTTTGTGTGAGATCTTTTTTCGGTTGTCTGTCGAATTCAGCCAGGAGGTTTCCGTGGAAGGCAGTGTGGCGTTCCAAGGTGCCGCTTAAAGTGGCTTTCTTTACTTGGACTGTGGTGTGGGGTAATATTTGACGCTTGACAATTTGAGGAGGAGAAAGCATATCATTATTAACTGGTGCCGCATGTGTAAGCGAAATGGAGAGTCGGTGGATCATCTCCTGTTGCATTGCCCTGGCCTTGGATTGTTGGAGCCTCTTGTTAGGTCTGTTCGGAGTTACGTGGGTCATGCCTAGATCTACTAGAGAATTGATGGAGGTTTGGATAGGGTATTGCCAAGATCTATGGAGGTTTGGACCTCATGCTAGAGGGTATTGGAGGATAGCGCCCTCATGTCTATGGTGGTGTTTATGGAGGGAGTGCAATACAAGAGCCTTTGAAGGAGAGGAGTCCTCGATCGCTGCTCTCAAGTCTTCTGTTATTGGCTCTCTCTTTTTTTGGGGTTCGGGTAGACATTGTTGTTCTCCCAAGGAGAAGATAGATTTTTTGACTTCTTTGGCACCTTAGGCCCCTGTTTGTGTTTTGTATTCGGGACGCATTCCCCTTTTGAACGCTTTTTAGAAATCTTTTTACTTATCAAAAAAATATATATATACAATAATACAATGGTGTTTATTTAGGAGAAGCTACGGGAGTAGATGAGTGGAGAACAAGTAAACCCTATACATGGTAATTCTATATATAGTAATGAGGGGTAGGTAACAACTCATACAAGACTAACTATATATGTGCGACAACTCATACAATACTATACAACAGTAAGCAATCTACAAATCAACATAGAGTGCGAGTCCCAATCAAGGTAAAATTAGGCTACCAAAATTGTGGCCTCTTTGAAGGTCTAAGGCGCCCTTTGGCCCTTTTGTTTCTTTGGGCTCCACTCCCCGTTTTGAGCATTTTTAATAAAATCTTACTTATCAAAAAAAAAAAAAAAAAAAAAAAAATGAGGCTACCAAAAGAGGATTTCAAGTTTCTACAAAATTGAAGCAAGAACAGAGTTTCCATTAAAATTATTGTTTCTTTCTTGAGATAGGGCAGCAAGTAAAGAATTGTATCATAATGAGACAAAAAGTCATAGCACAACAAACACGTAGTGAGAAAAGGAAAGGACAAAAAAAAGGCGAGAAAGAATGCAATTCCCCTATGCATACAAGCATAGCTATTATGTGTTTCACCTCACCAACTCATCAGATAATAGCACAAAGCATAATATGTATTGACTGCTTTAAGTTGTCCAAAGATGTCAAGCTTCAGTGCATATGCAAGTCAAAGAATTTTCCCTAACTATCATAACTTAAGATCAAGAAAAACAGCCAAATAAAAACATCTCATTACATTGAACCATTAAGCAACTTATGCACTTTGATCTTACTTGGCGATTAGTAGCAGTAACATGCTCGGCTGGTATCCGGATTTCTAGGGTAGGACCATTTTGAGAGCTTTCACAATTTTTCTCAGCTTGAGATGATTCATATTCTTTCCACAATTTTATCAGTTCTTGCATGCATTCACCAACTCTATAGACAACAGTTGACACTTCAGATTTACCTACAACAGAAACACCAATACTGTCATATGTATTAAACATACAATGGAAATTAAATAATATCTGAAGATTCCAACACTAGTTTTGCCATCATAAACATCAGAACCTCTACTTTCCTGTGAAAGGACCAATTAATTCAATAATGCTCTATGAAGAACAAAATTTTTAACAATCCAAAAGTTACTCTCTCAATAATGCTCTTGAAGCATGATATTCTCTCATTGTCATGTAACAATCCAAAAGGCAAGCCAGTTTTTGGGGATTGACGGCACATAAAAGTTACTTTTACGGTTTTACCTCCAAATGGAACACATGGAACAATCTTTCAGATCTAAAGAACCACCATCACAAAGGCATCAACTGATTGGACAACTTTTGACCATATGCCAAGAAAATCAAATGATTGGACAACTGCGAATCATAAAATTTCTCTGTAGGTTATCCAGCAACCAAAGAAGATACCAAGGCAAATATGTGAAATCTATTTGGTGGAACACATTAGGGCCCTGATCTTTGAAGACAATTACGAGGAAAAATAAAATGAGTAAACTTGGATTCTAACATGTCCCTCAGAGTAGATCAACTTCACAACAAAAATACATTTAAAATTTCAAAATAATTAGATTATCAATTCCTCCATACGTCAGGAAAGAATGATTGATATCATACGGTTTAAAGTAGGATATTATTTTTTTTACAACCATGCGTATATCCGTCATGAAATGTTTTTCTATCCTATAAACAGTATTACATGTGTCCTATTATTTAGAGGTAGGGTAAAAAAGTTTTTTTTTTTCTATAGGCTATACAAGGACCGAAGCTAGAGAGAAGGACCTAAGGCCCCAAGGATCCCAAAAAATTAACAAACTCTCCTATAAATTTACAATATCTCCCCATCACCCAACTAAAAAGAGAACTGAAAAAGAAAATAATTGAACATAATATTTATACTTGGAATTTAATACATAAATGTTAGAAAGGATAAGACCATATAAATTCATTAGACAGTCTAAAATTTGCCATACTTACAGCATTAAATGCTGGTCTATCAAAAAACAATAAGTGCAAAATATTAATCTAGCCAAAATGAGGATGTTGAGATGAGCACAAGACAATATTTATGAAAAACAAAAAAGGAAAAAAAATAATATATATATATATATATAGCAATCTTACGAAGTCTATGTCCGTTGTTCAAAGATTGGATGCGATTCAGAGGAATTTTTTATGGGATGGTTAGAGGATCATTGGTGCAGGGATTTTGTTCTGGCTCGAAGGTTTCCCAGGCTGTTTAGAATCTCACCGAACAGGCATGCACTGGTGGCTGACTGTTATCGGCTTGATAATGGGCAGTTGACTGGGAATGTGTTGTTTCATAAAGAGGTTCATGATTGGGAAATTGCTGAGGGTTTTGATCTCTTTGCACTGGTTACAGCCAAGTGGTGGAGGGTGAGGGTATGGATGAGATGGTGTGGGTGGGCACTCCTAGACGGGTATTTGAGGGTAGGTCCTTCTACCAAAGTCTGATGGTGATCCCAGGCCAACCCTTCCCTTGGAAGGCTACTTGGAGGATGAAAGCCAATTTGAAGGTGGCGTTTTTCACTTGGACAGCTGCCCTTGGTAGCATACTAACTCTTGACAACCTAAGGAGACGTCAGATAGCAGTGAACTAGTGTTGTATGTGCAAAAAGACGGAGGAATCAGTGAGCCACCTTCTCCTTTGTCTAGTGGCAAGGGATGTGTGGTCTTTGTTCTTGGTTGCTTTTGGCATGGCTTGGATGTTTCCCAAGTCCACGGTTGATATGTTAGAGGCTTGGAGACGGTATATGGTGGAGAGCCGAGCCAGGGATGCGTGGAGAGCCACACCCCTTTGTTTATGGTGGGGTCTGTGGCGTGAGAGAAATAGAAGATGGAGAGGAGTCCCTTATTTGGGTCTCTCATATACAATATTCTTTCTACTCTATTTTTTTTGGACCAATGGGGCAAATTGTAACTCTTTAGGGCATCTTTTGGATTTTGTGGATAGCTTGAAATTATAATGTCATTTTAGGGTTCTTTGTGTTGCTTTGGGAGAGCTCCCCTCTAGAGCGCCTTTAATGAAATCTTATTTATAAATAAAAAATAAAAATAAAAAAATAAAAAAAGGATCAACAATTGCACGCAAAATGAGTTGTTTATGAGAGCTGCATATACAGGATTTTATTTCTCGTTTTTTTTTTTTTTTTTGGGGGGGGGGGGGGGGGGGGGGGGGGGGGGGGGGGGCATAGACCATGCTAACGAGAGTCCTCTCTGTTATTTAAATTCAGCAAGAACATAATTCATGGTGATCCAATTAATTCATCCAATCTGCTTTAATAAATTTGAACGGTAACAAGTAATTTTAAATCCTAAAATATTGTGCAAGCAACGAGGTAAGGAAACAATAAGAGATTAGGAGACTTCTCATGTTGGCAAAAACCTAGTATCCTTTGGCTGAAGGAAGTATACAAGTACGTGGAATTCTTCCATCGGCTAGCAAATTCCCACCAAAGAATTGTTATTCTCATGAGTGGGATAAAAAAAAAAAAATTCTAAATTTTGAAGTTTGCCTTGTTTCCCAATGGAAAAGGGCTCTATGTAGGATTTTGAGGTGACTTTTGTTGCCCTAGGGTCACATGAGGAAGAGGACCTTCATTGTCATGGAGCAGGGCTGCCGCTCCTCCATGCAGAAGCCGGGAGGTACTTCTACCAGATTAAACTCCCCCGCACATGTCTAAATTTTATTGGGCCACGTCACCCACGAGGAGGAACTTCGTCCTCATAGGGCAGGACCCAAGTATCGTCCTTTTAAAATAAAAATACAAAGAAAAAGAAAAAAGTAAAAAAGAACTGAGGGTAGCTGCAAATATGGACACCAAGGGGAAAAAAGATACAATCAGAAATAAACAAGTCCATCAATCCCCAACCCCTAGTTGTGTGAGTATCAACTAGGAAAAAAAAAAAGGAAGACCAATGACATAATTAATGAGAAATAACACAACTCAGGTGGAAAATACTGAATGCTGGTAGAAATGCCACACAAGGAAGCGAGAACAGGACCGAGAGGTAGCAAGAAAAAGACATGTGAGACTATAAAAATGTTTCATGATAAAGGTAAAGCAAAAATGTCTCATACTAATTCATATGCTAAAGGATGCTTTGTTGAGAAAATTTTCCAAAATTTACTGTATAACAATTACTGGAAAGGAACAGATTACATGATTTCAAACAAAAAGACAGACAAAAATGTATTTCACAGATTAGTCAAAGCTGATACTAAAACAAAATTCCCCGGGTCTTCATTCATTCCTTTCTTTCTATCATCTTCGTTTTCTTTTTTCCCCTTCTTTAATAAATGGCCAACATTCACGAATTTTATGGTGATTATCCAAATTTATTCACAGAAGATAATAAGGATAAAAAGAAATGTCCATGTATACAACAATATAGCCAACTAATCATGCCAGGACTAGAATCTTAATTAAAGAGTATAATTTCCACCTTGTCTTCATCATATGAAACAGTATATCAAGAAAACAAATGGAAGCATGTAATATAATGCACATAAAATATAGCAAAATGTAGAGTTATAGATAGAGCTATGTGAAGTTATGAGCTTAAGTAATTCTTGGAGGAGAACATAGAAGGCATATCTCAACCAGGGAACAAGTCCCTATTGATTACAGCAAGCAAACAACTCCCCACTCAATGAGCAGCTTACCTTGAGTTCTGCAAAGGAAAAACAGAAAAGTGGATCATCACAATGTGTTTAACTATCAGGCAGCTAAGAATATTATAATTCTATCATATACAACTATACGTGCATAGATTTCTCTGACCTGGGCATGAAGAAACAATATTCAAAAACCTAATACAGTGGTTATTAACTGCAAACTGCCCTAATAAATTATCCTTTATGGCTCAAATAAAACATTCTTTTAGTTAGTAAATTATTCAAGAATCCAAAAGCAAAGTTCCTTTCCATTGGAGATTATAATAGACTTTCAAGTAAATATTAGAATATTTTCGAAATAAGTTCCAATTTTTAACATCTACATATCAATGGAAACCCACAGTTTTCTTAAGCTCTTTATTTTTTTCTTTTTCCTTTCTTGGGAAGAGAGAAGGGAGGGGAAGGGTAGTTCAACCCTCAGTCATCCAAAAAAAATATAGAATAGAATAAAAGAATGAGAGTTAGATTCTGAAACTTTGCAAAAATCCAGATATTTATAGGTTTGCCTATTTCTCTCCCACCAAAATACTATATAAGACAAAAAGAAGTATAGCCAAATAGCGAACCCTCCTCACACAACTCTAAAGCCAACAAACAAGCATCTCCTCCGACAATCACAGCAACCTAACAACTATAAAAAGGGAAGAAGTAAAAGCCAACAAGCAAGAAGAAGTAAAGCCAACAAGCAAGCATCCCCTGCAACGATCACAACCACCTAACAAGTACAAAAAGGGAAGAAAAACAAGGTGGCAAATGCGTTGAATAGACATTCCTTGCTGTTAATAATAGGTTTGAAGAGCTGAAAATCAGTATAAAGTGACCCATATTTTAGCCATATGGTGGCTGAAATGCAGACACCAGTAGAACAAAAGGAACTATTATATTTTATGCATCATGGCTACATGTTCAAGAAAAACATGTCACACCAACAAGTGCTTCGTTTGGGCAATCATATTCTCTTTTCTTCTTCTTCTTTTTTTTCTGTTTTGATAATGTCTTCTTCCTCAGTATTTTTCAAATAATCAGAAATGTCATGGCAGTGGTCTTAGGAAACAGTTTGACCTAAAGCATGGAAATGGTGGCTGATGAATCGTAGAACCATAACCTAGCCTCTGATAGTCAGGGTGCGCTATGCCAAATTAGATCCAGAGGGGGGGAGTGAATATGTCTTGTAAACAAAATAACAAACTTTAAACACTTTTTAAATTTTAACTATTATAATTAACTGAAATTTAATTATAAAAAATAGGTAGAGTGCAGAAATATAAAAACATAAATCATCCATATATGTACTCCGATTTTTTTTTTTTTTTTTTGATAAGTAATAATTGAATAGAAAAAGGCGTTCAAGAGGGGAATGCATCCCTTATACAAAAGTGGAACCGGGGTTTAAGGCCCCAAAGAATCCAAAAAAATGATTAAATCATCTGAAGAGGAACATGACTTCCTCTTCACGTAACTGAAAAGAGAGCGAATGATGTGAAGTTTCAGAATCGCCGTAGATGACTCTTTCCCTTCGAACATTATACTATTCCTCTCCTTCCATATGCACCACCAAACAAAATGTGGTACAATTCTCCAATAATCGCGAACATCACTTCTTACATCAAAACCCCCAATAAACCGAAACCATGGGACCTAGTCCATGCTGATCGAATCAACTAGCAGAAAAATGTTTACAAATAGGTTAACAAGACTCTAACACAAGAATTACTTGGAGCTATTACTTAGTTAGCGGTAACCAAAACCACGCTGGACTTTCTCCTCAAACTTTGCTGCTGCCAGCCAACAAAATCCACTCCTCGAGCGATCCACTCTTGATCTCCAAAGACTAGTAACGTATGATTGTTGGTATGTTGTGTGGAACTTGAAGTGGTGTTGAAATTATTTAAGCTTTAGGAACTGTAAGTTTAAACACACTCACCATCTATACGAATGATGATTGAAACAAAAGTCTGACAATTGGATTACTAGGATGCACTCTATGCATCAGTATATGATGCTCAACGCATGCCCTATTGCCTAGGTTTTCTGGAAGCAAAGGGTCTTACTTATAGACCTTGGAGACTGAAAAAAGTTATAAATAGGGTTTGAATCAGATATGGATACTGCCTTTCCACAAATTTCTCTCAATTGACACCAATTCGGGTAGAACAAAATTGCACCAGTAACCTTCGATTGACCCATCAATTTATCCAAGTTCCCTGTCTTATTTTAATTTGGATTTTTGACTTTCCAAAATAGGTTTATGCATTCTAAAACAGGTTTTTATTTTTATTGATCAAAACATATACATGAAAAAACCTAAAAAAATAAAAATAAAAATAATCATAAATGAAAAAACCTAAATTCATAATATGATGAATGCATATGAACTCAAATTTGGTGTATGCACAACCTTGAGTTTTAATTTTAGCTTTTTACTCTTGCTTCAAGCTTTAAAGTTACTTTTTTGCGCTTGAAAGAGGTTAGTCAACTTATCTTAAATTTAAAAAAATATATATATATATATATAACATTTAAGATTACAAACTCTATGGTACAAATTTGACAAGTCCAGTCCTGTTGAACTACCACCAGGCCAATAGCCCAGCTGGTATAAACTCACCTCTCAACTCGCTCGACTATCGATGATGTAGGATACTTTACGTGTTTAGTAATTTTTTAGTTTAGATTTCTTAATTAATTTTTTTTTATATTTTTTATAGGAAGTTTAGTTTTAATTAGTTTCTTTTAGGAATTATTTTCCTTTCACCTTCTAGTACTAGGATTTCTTTTATAATAAATACGTGTACTGCCAAATGCAGAATTAACATATTCAATTATCAGATTTCTCTAAATTTATCTTTCGTTTTATGGATTCAAAACACCCTACTTTATGGATTCAAAGTAAACCGTTCCTTGTGAACAAATTTATCGCTTCCGCTTACGTCAACTGGTATCAGAGCCTTGTCTTTTCCTGGTCTGATGGCAGATGAACATTGTGTCAGCAACCTCGCTGGTGACGAAGATCGACAAAGAGTGGCTTTTTCTAAAGCCGAATTTTAAGACTATCAACGTAAAACCCGGAAAACATTGCAAGATATTCAAGCAATGCTTGCTAGGCTTGAGTTGGAGCAGAATAGCGATAACAACAAGTTTCGCAACGACGACGTAGATCGTGTTCGTCCTATTCGTAAGCACAACCCCTTCCCTCCGCATAGTCATTCAGCCTATGAGGAAAAGGTGTTTGGGGTCAAAGAGATGCACGAGGATATCGGGGATTATGATTCTAGGAATTCTCCTCCTAATAGTTTTGATGGTCTCTTTCATGATTAAGATTTTCTAGATTGGTTGAAAGATTTTGAAAGTTTCTTTGATTACATGGGGATTCCAAAGGATAAGAAGGTGGCACTCGTCACATACAAATTGAAGGGAAGAGCTTCTGTTTGGTGGGATCAATTACGTGTTATTCGTGCACGACAAAGAAAAGCACCGGTACGAACTTGGTTGAAGATGAAATGTCTTTTGAAAACCAAGTTTTTTCACCATACATGCTATGAGGAGATCCAGTTTAAACCGTATCAGGATTATTGGCCGAGGTGTAAGAAAGTTCAGTCCTATACAGATTTATCGTTGTCTTCGAAGCATCGACCTCCTCCTACAATGTTGAAGTTCACACAAGAAGAAATTATGGGTAAAGTTATATGCGTCCAAGAATCAAAATTTGAAAGTAATTGTCTAGAAGAGGAGAAGGAAGAAATAAATAACAAGAAGATCAAAATAATTTTATTGAACCAAAAAAGTGATTTGATTGAGATTTATAACAAGGAAAATTTTGTTGCTTCACCACCTCTTGTAATTGGAGATGATGAAGTTGTTCAAAGTTTAGCAGATGTAGATGCAGTTGGAGATACTTCCAGTAAGATTACTTTAGAGTCCAACTACAAAGAGATAACTGATGGTTTGATAAAATTAGATTTGGAACATAAGGATGGCAGTGAGATGTGTGATGATGTGGACCCATCTTTGTTGCTTCACCACCTCTTGTAATTGGAGATGATGAAGTTGTTCAAAGTTTAGCAGTCGTAGATGCAGTTGGAGAGACTTCCAGTAAGATTACTTTATAGTCCAACTACAAACAGATCACTGATGGTTTGATAAAATTAAATTTGGAACACAAGGATGGCAGTGAGATGTGTGATGATGTGGACCCATCTTTGAAAGATACGGATTCAGACAAGATTGCAGATTGCATTGTAGTAGTTGCTGATACAAAAGTGATGGATATACAAAGTGCTATTGGGGACGGTTGATTCAATTATTGATGAATTCAAGCGCAGACCAATGATGGTTAGCGCACACATAGAAATTCCACAAGTGACCAATGGTGAGCTTTGGAGAACACCAAGATGCTGCTCACGTGTATGTTTGCTTGGAAAACGTACCAAAAATTGATGAACCCATCAATTGCCTCGCAAGTTCTGTTCTATTTGGAATGCAATATTCATCCAAAATTATCCAATTCCAACTGGGTGATTATTTTATGAGAAGTCATATTTTATGGTGGGGCAGCAATACTGCAGATGGAATTGGTGATGACCCTTGGATTATGGATAAACAGATTGGACCGGTCACTGATCCTAGAAGTGATGGTGTGAATGGGTTGGCTTTAGAAAGTTTTGCATGGGAATTTGTGAATCCTAAGTCCATTAATTCAAAGCGACTAATCCCAGTGAAGGAATTACAATTAAAACTTCTATGTTTCAAGTTGGAAGGCCCAGTTCAATCTTTCATCCAAGTTGCTGGTTTAGTCAAAGACCATCTCGTCACCTATCAAAAGCATCGTCGCCGCACAGTGCGATTTTCAATTGCTACAGCTAATCTTTGGCCCTATCGCATAAAGAGGATAAATAACAATACCATTTATATGATGTGGTTTCTTGAGGGCTTGAACATGTTTAAGCATCATCGTCCAGATTAGTCAAATTATTTGCATTGAAATTCGAGGACATAT